ACATCAGATTTCATAATGCAGCAACAACAAATTATATTTTGTGCCACAAGAGTTAGCCTGGTGTCCGGAGCCTCTAGTCTTACTAAGCAAGTTTTCCAAAGAAAAATATATGGAGCAAATATCTGATTTTCACAACTTTCTGCACTTTGGGCTTTGTCTGCACCTTCAGTGCTTTAATCTTTCAGGTCACACGAGACTACAGTAGACATAGTCAGCACCCACACCAGACCTGCATCATTCTTCTTCCCAAAGGCAGCCCGTGTGGGATTTGAACTCCTGGGTAGGAAGGCTCAGTAATCTGCCAGTAGTCTGGGGCGTCCTTTGGGTGCACTTTGAACATCTAATACTGACTCACAGTCTGTATCTCATCCCCTCCCCCCCGTCCTGTAAGGACTTCACCTGGCTCTCGAATGGCTTCTCGGGAGAGAAACAGGTCGCACTCTGCGAGGTAGACAACTGGCAAAGAGAAGCAGGGCATGGAGACTTCTGTCTCCAGATCTTCCCGGGAAAGGTCCCCAGCAAACGAGGGAGAGGAGGCGCCTCCCCCCCCCCCAAGAAAAAAGAAATAATAAAATAAATAGAAAAATAAAAAAGGGCGGACATGGCAAAAAAAAATATATATATATAAATAAATGGTGGACATGGCAAAAAAAAAAATATATATAAATAAAACAATAAAAAATAAAAAAAAAGGGCGGACATGGCACTTCAAACCCCATAAAACACAATTTTCGCGTTAAACATAATGCATTGGAACTGTCAAAGTCTTAGAGCTAGATTAAATGACCTGAAATTGTTATTCTCGGCATATGCTCCCGGTTTTATAGTTCTCCAAGAAACACACTTAACCTACTTCATCTCCGATGAAATCGCTTCGCTGAAAGGACCGTCGGGGTAGGGGTGGAGGCGGAGCCGCTATGTACATCCACCAAAGCCTTCCTTTTATTGAAGTGATTATTGAATCTCCTTTAGAGTGTGTCACATGGAAAGTAAAAATCAATAACATGTATCTGACTATATGTTCAGTTTATTGTCCGCCTGAGGTAATATATGATAGTCCGCCCATTAATTTATTAATATTCAT